ACAGAGGGGTTGGTTAAGATCGAGGTTGGTTTTTGGAAATTATAAAAAGGGGGTCTCATTACCATAACTATACAATCGTTATTGTCGATTTAAATACAATAGATTAACTGGAGTCTAGATTAATCAGTATACAGACTCAAAACAAGAGTTGAAAGGCGAAGTTACTTGGTAGTAAACTCGAGATAAGGTAGGTAACCTGGCCGGATCAGTTGGGGGTATCGGAAATAGATATTTCATTGGAAACCCAGAATAGCAAGGTTAAAGGGAGGAAGAACGCGTGACAACCAGGTAAAACTCAATTTTTTTAGAGCAAGCTTTCGTCAAACTTGAATCAAAAAACTTTTATTCTTAGATATTTTTTAACAAATTTTGAATTTTTACTGAGAGATTTTCGAAAAGAATGGGTTACATTTTCAATCCTAACCTGGCATAAGGATCACATTTTGACTTTTCAATTGCAGTTGATTGAGGAAGAGCAAGACATTTTCGAGAAATTCAGATAAACTTTGTTGAAAATTTGGGGAGTGGGGGCAATTTACACGAGTTCCTAAGGCAGTACTGGGAAGGCAAATCAACTGCCAAGCACTACAACACTTGAGTCCTGGGATAGCAAATTAAAGGTCCCAATACTTGGATCTTATGATAGTAAATTAAGGGTCCCAGCTCTTAGTCCTAGGATAGTAAAATAAATGTCCCAACACTTAGTCCTCGGATAGTAAATTAAGTGTCCCAACACTTAGTCCTGGGATAGCAAATTAAGTGTCCCGACACTTAGTCCTGGGATAGTAATTTAAGTGACCCAGCACTTCTTCCTGGGATAGTAAATTAAGTGTCGCAACACTTGGTCCTGGGATAGTAAATTAAGTGTCCCAACACTTAGTCCTAGGATTTTAAATTGAGTCTCCCAAAATTGTGTCAGGGGAAGGTGAAAAAAAGGGGCAACCCTAGTGGAATAGGAATCGAGAGTCATAGATAGCTCCTTGGGAACCAGATTAAACACCAAGAAAACTAAGTTTTAAATCGGACTGTTAAATATTCAACTGAAATTGTTTTAAAAGGTCTAAAATACCAAGAGAGTTGTAGGTTTTTTTGACATTTTTACGTTTACATCTGTATAACAGAATTGTACATAGAAAGAACTGTGAATAAAAAACGAAGTCCGACTTGATAAAATAGAAATGAGGAGAGAAGCCCGACATGATAAAAATGAAAACCTTGGTACATACTTCACCTTAGCAAGAGCAATTGAAGAGAAGCTGCTACAGATGGCTGAAAGATTGGAGACGACAGACAAGGAACGGGAGAAGTTCAACAAGAGGGATATGGAAGAAATAAAAATGCGGTATGAGACTGTAAATTAAAAACTCTGGAGTCTGGAAACGAGAATGGACACGATGAGCAGAGACCAAGCAGAAAATTCTTGTGCTATGCTGTCTAAATTGGATGCGCTCTTAAGAAACTCCATCATTCACGACAGAACAGCACCAGAGAAAATAGCGAATCAACCTGGACCAAGGGCGGACTTCGCGGAACAGCACCGCACCGCAAGAAGCAAGAAGCTACTCCATTACATCGGGTACACAACATCATAGGACGTGAAACGGTAACTAAAGGAAGCACATCAACTTCAACGACAGCACCGAGGGAATCAAACGCACACGCAAAGCAACAGCAGATGCCATGACGTGGGCCAACACCTGGAAAATGATGATGAGGACACAAGAACCATTTGCCACAAGAAGCACGACGGATTGAAGCGAGAGAGGATGAGGCAAGTGTAGAAAGACCTTCAAGAAAACAAAAGAACTTAAAGACGATTCGGATGGTTGCATAGACACCTGGGTTGAGTTCATGAGGCTACATCTTAAGCAAGACAACTTGAATGATAAAAGACAAGCCTGCAGGGCACGGCAATGAAGTGCGTGGTAGCCAAAAAGGAAGAAGAACCTGATAATGCAGACAATATCTTCGAGTTTTTGTTGAATCGTTTTGGATCCGGAATGAAAGGGCATCAAGCTATGATGAGTTTGAAAAAAGGAGACAGAGGGATGACGAGTCAATTGATAGATTTCTGGATGACCTAGAGAGCTTGATCCGAAGGAATTGACCAACAGGAGGACCATCAGCATTGCTTCAAAAGTCATCGACGGGGTGAAAAGTGACGACTTAAGGACAATGTTGGCAATATATTATACGCTATCGAAAGGTAAGGCACCAACCCCGGAAGGGATGAGACAAAAATCTAGAGAGTATATCTTAATGAAACTGAAGAAGTATTCATTTTCAGACAACCGAAATCTGCAAGGGGAAAGCCAACAACAAATGTCGACCTGTTACAAACCGAGAGACGATATGAACAAGCGAAGGTCTTGTGCGAATTGTGGATCTGCAGAACATCACCTAGATGATTGTACCTCTTACAAACAAGGGATGAAAAGCCTGAGGTGTACACCACATGAGGACGACATAAATCAGATGAAGGAACATGAGTTCTTTAGTGGGTTGATGATGAAGATTGATGCAAGATGCTTCTTCTGTAATCAAGAAATTCATTTTAGGACGGAGTGTCTTCTGTTTTGGGAAGCAGTGAAAAATCATAATCACCTGAAACACAAGTTAGCGCTACGGGCCGTGCAATATACGAAGAATCGACAGGCTTAAGATGACTTGCAGAACAAGGACTGGATAAGTAATTAATTGTCGACGAAATCTGTGCAGGCGCTAACCGAAGAGAAAGACACCGAGGGAACAACAACGAAAGGTGAGCTGGAAACAAACTATCAGAAGGCGGCAGCAGTCGCAATAAACAAAGTGAAACAAAATTTGGCAACGAAGGAAATCGAGCAAAGGCTGAAACAGGAAATAGACAAACAGCAAAGATACGAGATACTTTCAGCAGCAACAGCCCAGTTCGAAGAGGAGTGCCTTCACGTGGCAAACTGGATTCCATACGAAACCTCCTCTCTTCGTGGATGGACCTTCACAGGCCCCCGGCCTGGAATGGACACCCACCAGTCGCGCATCCGGGTTTTTGTCTAACAGGGGCGTGGTTCCAGTGCACGACCCCTGTGAGCTACTCAGAGCTGGAGACGTCGAGTCTAACCCTGGTCCCAGTTGCTCGTCCTGCAATGTGACCCTCCGCAGTGGCGCTCCGTCCTTGGAGTGCAGCGAGGCCGGGTGCACTGCTAGATGCCACGAGAAGAAAGAATGCAGCGGGATGAGCAGATATGGGAGTCAACCAGAGTGGAGATGCCGGTCACACGGCGGAACCGTTGTAGAGCCTCCGACAGCGATCCCAGCACGGCCCAGCGGCACTTGTATCTCCTGCATGGGGATTGTCCGCCCTCACCGACCATGGCTCACGTGCAGCGAGCCCGAGTGTCAGGTGAAGTGCCACAAGAAATGCAGCAAGCGTAGCAGATACGCCACGGGAGACTGGAGCTGCCCCCAACACGACACCGCTCCGCTTCATCCCTATTTGACGATTGCCGGCAGGGAGGTGAGCAGCCTCTCTTCTTCCCAGCCGGATCCCGACACGGGAGAGAAGCGCACCTGCAAAGGGTGCAAGAAGACGATTGCCCGTAACACGACGGGGATCGCTTGCACAGACTGCAAAGGCCTGTTCCACAAGGTGTGTGTCGGCCGGCGCGGGTCTACGCGGGACCAGGTGGAGATGTACGCAGGCGGCCTGTCCTGGACCTGCGGGTGTGTCCCCACTAACTCTCAGCCTGGCAACGAGCAAGACGCAGAAGAGCGTGGCAGCAGAGCTAGGTTCGTGCCGAAAGGGACACTTAGACTCCTTCAGTGGAATGCTGACGGCATTAAACTGAAGATCAGCGAACTCGGAGAAAGGATGAAGAATCTGGACATGGATATCGCTCTGATCCAAGAGTCCAAGCTCCGCGAGAAAGACAAGACTCCGAGGATCGAGGGATACAGCACGGTCAGGGCAGATCGTAGAGGACCCAAACCAGGCGGCGGCCTCATCAGCTTCTTGAAGAAAGACATAGCTTTCGAGTACCGCCCCTGTTGGAACCAGATGACGGGTAATGTGGAGTCGTCCCGCCTCAAAATCCGGCTGAGCAAGAAAAGCTGGATCACGCTCCACAATCTCTACATTCCGCCCAACAGGGTAACAAACACCAAAGAAGTGTTGGTTCTTGACAACCTCCCAGCTGACAAAAACAGCTTCTTCGGGGGCGACCTCAATGGCCACTCCCAGCTGTGGGACCAATCACAGCTTCAAGACAGCAGAGGAGTGGATGGCCGACGTGTGGGGAAGACGAAGCCCGGTAAACATCGCAACGCGGGCATTTCTGCGACCGTCAGAGCCTTGGTCAAGAAGAGGAACTTCTTCCGCAGGCGGATCAACGCCCACCGCCAAGAATGGGTCACCGCCTGCGGAGAGGTTACCGAAGCCGTGTCTGCGGAAAAAGAGAAAAGGTGGACCGAATTTGTCGACACCTTAGAGTCTTCCAAGGACTACAAGAAGACGTGGGGCATCCTTGGCTCCATCAGCGGCAAGCCGGACTCGTGCTGCCCTAACGAGGCGATCCGGCACAACGGCAAGGTCCTTGTCTCTAACGAGAGCAAAGCCGATGCCTTCGCTGCTCATTATGCCAAGGTGAGCAAGCTGGAGTTCTCTAGAGAGGAAAGGGAGAAAAATAGACTTGCCAAGATCAGAGGCAACGCCCCAGTGTGGACGACAGCTCCACAGCAGAATTCAGCATTGAGGAGCTGAACAGAGCCATCAAGAAGATGAGGAAGAACGGAGCGGCTGGCCCCAACGACATCCCCCCCAGCTTCCTGAAAGCCTTGGGACCTCTAGCGAGGGGGAGTTGCTGGGGATCTTCAACCAGTCGCTCCACGAGTCGGAAGTGCCGCAGGCTTGGCGGAATGCGACCATCATTCCTTTGCTGAAGGCAGGGAAACCAGCGGGCTCGATCGAGTCGTACCGTCCCGTCAGCCTCACCTCCTGCATCGTGAAGACCATGGAACGGATGGTTCACACTCGTCTGTACCATCTGGTGGAAGCCAGGGGCATCTTCAACCATTCGCAGGCCGGCTTCAGGAAGAACAGAAGTTGCGAAGACCAGCTCCTGTGGATGATCCAGGACGTCAGCGACGGCTTCCAAGAGAAGAAACGGAGACGGACCGTCATGGCTCTCCTGGACCTTTCCCGGGCCTACGATAGGGTGTGGAAAGAAGATCTCATGCTCACCATTATCGACTCAGGCGTCCCTCTCAAGTTGGTGAGATGGTTCAACGCCTTCCTCAGCAACAGGCAATTCCGAGTGATGTTCAACGGCAGCCTTAGCCGCACCAGATTGCTGATCCCCCTGCTGTTCATCTTTTACATCAACTCCTTGCCTGATGAGATCAAAGACCTTGTCAACGATAGTCTCTTCGCTGACGACCTCACCATCTGGTCCAGCCACAACAACAAAGAAGAAGCTAGCAGATACGTCCAACTGGCTGTCCAGAAGATCGAAGCATCTTGCAAGAAGAAGAAGATGCTCCTCAGTGAGAAGAGCGTGGTCATTTTCTTCTCCTCTAGCTCCGGGGACGCCAGATGGAAGCCGGACATTACGATGGGGGGTAACACCCTCAAGTTCGATCCCTGCCCCAAACTCCTGGGGCTGGTGATCAACAGGACCCTGTCCTTCCAGCAGCACGTCGACAAGGTGGTCGACGAGGTTCGCAAACGTTGCAACCTCCTGGCCTGCTTGGGGACTTCAAACTGGGGCTGGAGAAAGAAACCCTTTGTAAGAGTGTTTCTTGCCACCCAGCGGAGCATCATGGGCTTTGCCGCCTCCAACCATGGCTCTCCAAAACCCAGATGGACAGACTCGACCGCGCCCAGAACCAGGCCCTCCGTCGGGTTACTAAGGAAGCCGTCTCCACTCCAGTTGAGGCCATGCGTCTGGAGAGCGGCATGCAGAGCTACCGGACCATCTCTCAGAGACTCACAGCCAACTCCCGGGAGAGAGCCTCCAGGTGCCCCGAGGGCCACCCCGCTCGGATCGCCCTGGAGAAGGACCAACCTCACGGGCTCTGCAGAGACAGCTGGAGAGAACTCAGCAACAGGATCAGTTCCACCCTCCCCAACGAGCTCGCCGACAGGGAGCCCCTTCCCACCATTGAGGAAGAGGTTTGGACCCCACAGAAACGTTGGCGGGTCAACAACACCGTCGGAGGCTTGGGACGCTCCGAAGAGACGAAACAGAAGGCGACCGAGACGATTCGGAACATCGACGCCACATGGACCATCTACACAGACGGTTCCGCCAAAGATGGGACTAGGGACGGAGGCTCAGCAATGGTTGTTACGACAGGTGACCCCCTCGACCCTCAAACAATCTTCTCCGAGACGATTCGCGGCAGGATGCTCACCTCCTCGTTTGACGAAGAGAAAGAGGCACTGGGAGCTGCAGTTAGGTGGTTGGAGGATAACACCCCTAACAACAGTGACAAGGGCCTTACTTGCACTGATAGCCAAGCCCTGACATCGGCTCTGGCAAACGACAGCAGAGAAGTGAGCAACATCACTAGAAAACTTGACACGCTCAACCGCGAGATCATCCTTCAGTGGATCCCTAGCCACGTGGGCATTGTAGGGAACGAGAGGGCCGAAGCTCTGGCCAATGAAGCCTCTGGGTTGAAGGAGAGAGCAAAACCAACCACCTACAAGAGCGCCGTAGCCACCATCAAACGTACGATTAAAGATCCAAGCCCCTCTCACGCCAGAACAGCTCAAGTCTACCAAAAGCTGTCAAGAGAACGTGACGAAAAGACCCTTCTGTCGAGAAGAGACGCAGTCATGCTAGCCAGGCTCCGCTCTGGACACAGCATGCTCTTGGCCGGGTATAGGACCCTGATGAACCCCGCCGAGAGCCCCTCCTGTCCCAGATGCGAGGAGGCCAACGAAACAGTGGAACACTGGCTCCTCGATTGTCCGGGGACGCTAGCGGCCAGACAAGAAATTTTCGGAGGCACGACGGTGGAATTGTCAATTCCCACCGAGGACCCAGAAGGTGCGGTCGCGCTGGCGAAGCGGACCCTTGGGAAAAATTCGGCGCACCCACAATGAAATAAAGAAAGAAAGCAGCAACAGCCGAACCTGAGATAATAGACAATCTGAAGATCAGAGGCAACTGCAACACCTTGAAAATAGAATCAGGAAAACCCGTCGGGATCACGAAAATAGGGCAAGAATAATGTCAAAAATCACAGTTGGTGGCCACAAAGTAATGAGGAGTATGAGTGAACCAAGTGACCAAACACTGATGCATACCAAACACTATATACAGACTATCGGCGCAACATTAGCCCGCAGACTCCTTCGAGAGCAATCAGAGCATTACTGACGGGAGGAGGCGGAAAATTGTTAAGAATAGACAGCAGGTACACTAAGGCGTATGGTCCAAGCGAGGTCATGCTAAATATAGATGAACTGAATAACTATAAAAAGACGATGATAAAGTGCAACGAGGACCTTCTGAGTCGAAATTATGTGGGTCAAGAGGAACTCGAAGTGAGATCGATTGGAGATTGCGCCACGCTAGAGGAAGATGCCATGCACTTGTGTTCAGAAGCATACGTGTCCGCTCATGTAATAGATACAAGCGGAAAAAAGACGCCTTCAGAGGACTACTGGATACGGGAGCTGTCTTGAGCGTGATACCAAAAGAAACATGTGGTCGGATGGGATTTGACACAGAAGTCTGCTGTAATTTCGTGTGCTTTATTTTCGTTGAGCATAAAAGAGAATTAGAGGAGTCGTCAGTACCGCAGAGGGAGGGCGCGAAGCGCATGACCCCGCGCAAATCGCACGCGTGTAGAAAGGAAAAAAACGTTGCTTGAGTATGCCATGATATAAGTATCCAGTTTACCGTAAATTGACGAGTTTCAAATTTTCATCAGTTCTTATCATTTCATTTAAGTCAGAAACAGAAGTTGGACTCTCGAGCTGTTCGAGTTTTCCAGAAAAAAACACACCAAAGGAATTGGAAATGGATAAACCGGTATCACCAGAAATTGAACCCTTGAGGGCAAAAAAAACGGACAAACAGCTCAAATCCATCAAGGATTTCTTAGATAGGAACCAGGACGTCTTTTCGAGACACACAGCAGTTATCGGGTGCTGTAACTTTGTTGAGCATGAAATAGAATTAGAGGAGTCGGCGGTACTGCACAGAAGGAGGGCGAGGCGCAGGACCCTACACAAATCGGATGCATGTAGAAAAGAAATAGAAACGTTGCTAGAGTATGACATGATAGAACTATCCAAATCACTGTGGGCGTGTGGGGTGGTGATGGCCAAAAAGAAAGGAGGTCAACTGAGATTTTGTTGTGAGTTTCGATATGTGAACTCCGTCACGGTGAATAATGCTTATCCCTCCCGACAAAAATCGAGAGCCTTTCAAAACTTGGGAATGCACGATTTGGGGTCGGCCTTTTGGAAGGTACCACTTACGAAACAAGACAGGGATAAAACGGGCTTTGCTTGTGAGCTGGGATTGAGTCAATGGAAAAGGATGCCATTCGGCCTATGCAACGCGACAGCTACATTTCATCGACTGGCACAGGCACTGACAAGAGTAACGAAGAAATATGGTAACTTGGTATTGTGTTATGTGGATGACATGGTGATTGCAATGCCAACCCTGGAGGATCATATCGAGCGACTGAACGAAGTGCTTGATTGCATGAAAAAGGCAGCATTGAAAAGCAAGCCCTTGAAATGTGAGATCTATATGCACTCAATAAAATACCCTGGGAGGATTGTAGACAAGCATGGCATCCGACCAGACCCTGATGCAGTGGAGGCAGTCCTGTTTTGGAAGTCGCCAAAGACTGAAAATCAGTTGATGAGCTTTCTTGGTTTCGCGAAATATTATTGAGAGTTCATCAAGGGTTACGCAGACAAGGTGTACCCGATGCAACAACTCATGAGACCCAAGGGCAAGAAGTTCATTTAGAATAACGAAGCAGGGGAGTCTCTTCAAAGAATAAAACTAGAGTTGTGTGAGGCTCCATTATTGGGCATGTCCACAGAGAATGGTATGTATGTCGTAGACACAGATGTTTCAGTGGTTGCGATTTCTGGCATACTGTACCAAGAGCAAGAATGGAATCGAAAAACCATCTTGAGACCATTAGCATATAGGAGCAAAGACCTGAGAGACACGGAAATGAAGTACGGGGTGTCCAAAGCAGAGTTTTTTTGCGGTGGTTACCTTCGTGGAGAAATACAGAGCTTAACTGGGCGGCGAGCCATTCAAGCTACGTGTTGACAACAGCACTTTCTTGGCTGAAAACGTACTCAATGGCTCAAAGCTGCATCGGGAGATGGATAGTACGACTAGATGGTTACAACATGATAATTTACAACATGACAAAGGATAAGCACCAAAATGCAAGAAAACGGACTTTCACGAGATTCATGAGCAGAGGAAAGCCGACAGGCCTGAACTAAAAGATGGATTTTTTTTCACGGACAAGGGGTTCTATGACAGCTTACCACTCAGGAGACGGCTCGTCAATTCGGGGAAACCGATCGAACATCACCCTGAACTACCTACAGACCACCGGAAGACAAAGATCCTAGGGAGACAAACAAGAAAGCCTGATGGAAATCCTGCTCATGTCGAAACTAGATAGGGAAACGTTAAAGGAGAAAAGCTATGACCTAGATGAAGTTAAGAAAAGGGGAGCAATAGTGGGACAAGATCTAATGAGCTTGCTTCAAAACCTGGCGATAAAAAACCCGTGGACACGAGTGAGAATGATGATAAACCGGAAGTTACGATATTGGGTAGAACCAAACAGGGCTCGTGCGAAGACAACCAGTTGGAGGGCAGAGTTCCAGAGAGTAAAGAAGGGGTACGCACATCACTCGAGAATATCGCAGAGGAGGTACTCATGGAGGCAAAGTTGAGAAGGAAAAAAGTGTCATTCAAGGAAGCGACTGAAGACCTCGGAACAGGTCAAGAATCTGGGGAGTGCTTGAAAAATGAAGAAGAAGGTGAAGCAAAATTTTTTTCCAGGGAGTCAGAAGAATCGGACGAGAGTTCAATGAGAAGTGAAGACGAGCAAGACAACTTGTGCATGATACTAGCGTAAGCAAAGAGGAGGAATCAACATAAAGAAGCGCAGACAGACCCCTCATCTGGAACATACAATCTTGAGTGTGATGACACAAACGAAGGGAAGAACTAGAGATCATAGCAGTGTCAAGAAAACCTTTCAGGGAGTTGTCTTGCAGTTCAAACATCAGGACAATTCTAGAGCCCGAGAGTGATAGGGAAATCTTGAGCTGGATAGTGTGTGTCAAACTAAGAGATGATATCCACAACCCGGGAGAAACGACAGGGCAAATGATGGAACTGAAGGAGCATGTGAAGGCGCGAGGTACAGGCTATCAGACATGGTGCGAGCACAGAAGAATGACAGGATGACTAGCCATCTCTCCAATTGGATCCGGTCACGGGCAATAGAGAAAGGGGATCTGGAGGAAGACAACTACAAGATCTTGAGCCTATTCTACAAGGAATGAAAGGGTTACTATATCACACGGCGGATGGCGTGGTGGCCTGCAAGAGAAGAGATGAAGAAAAAATACTTCACATACATAATCTCATGATACTGCCGCAACTGTGTCAGACAGATGTGCTATTCAGATCGCATGATCAAATGGGACATCAAGTGATAGACAAAGAACAACAAAGAATACTGCACCCGTTTGATTGGACAGTAATGAGGAAAGCTTGCGAAAGTTGGGTCAATGCAAACTGTCATGACTGCGGGTGAAGAACCCGAGGAAGATGAAGTTCCCACTCGAGTAGGTGGAAAACTCAGAATTCAATTAGGTCGCGCAGAAAGACCACTAAAAAATCTGCTTTGACAGAAACCGTATATAAACAGATAGTGGTAATCCTCGACCACTTCACAAAACTTGCGGAAGCAGTACCGTGTCCAACGGCCACTGCGGAAGAAAATTGTGACCACTTGATTACACTCTGGATCTCAAGATAAGGTTGTCCCATTACCTTTCAATCAGACAACAGGAAGGCCTTCGTCGGGGATCTGACAAAGGAGTTTATGAAAAGCTCTCCTATTGCCCAAGCACAAGCGACTAATTACCACCCACAGACTTGTGGAATAGTAGAAAGGCAAAATAGGACACTAGCGAATATGCTTAGAGTGTACTGCTCGAGGTACATGACGGATTGGGACAAGAAATTGCAGCAATTTGTCGGAGCATACAACAGCACTCAACACCCAACAACAGGGATCAGTCCATACGTGATGCTTACAGGCAGAGAAGTCGGAGCATACAACAGCACTCAACACCCAACAACAGGGATCAGTCCATACGTGATGCTTAAGGGCAATTCCACTGACATTTTTCTACTCAGAATACGAGGGGCAGAAGGGAGGTGATCAAAAGACAACAAGAGTTGAATGAACTGTGTAGAAGGAAAACAGCTCGAGCACAGATGAGGCAACCTAAACTACGATGAGAAAATACTACAAACGAAACCATATGCTGTGGGACCAAATGTCTGGGTGTTTAAGAACGCCATTCCTCAAAAGGGGACGAAGAAGTTATTAAAGAAATGGAGAGGACCATTCATGATAACAGAAGTACACCAGCAGTGTCGGTTCTACCGCATGAGCACAGGGCGCGCCGCTCACTATAAAAATCTGAAACCTCATGTCCCGTCACCGGAGGATTGGTGCGTGCCTCAGAACATGGAAGGACTAGAGCACCTGATAGTGGAACCGGCTTGTGAGATAAACGAGAGAACACCAGAGAGGAACACGATGCCAACGAGAACACGTCACGATGGCAACGAGAACACGACACGACCATCCCGGAGCTGCTATAGCGGGTTCGGATCGTGGCGGGTTCGGATTTCACAAGAACATCGCCGAAACTGACGCTGTTTGCCTCGATGAACGAGATGCAAGAGTTAGTGGCGGTCCGATTGGGATCAAAGACGAAGGTAGTGTTCACTTCGTTACCCGGATACTCGAGCAGACCACTCGCTCTTCAGTTTGTTTATGCGGTGTTGGTTTTGATTGCGGAAGGCAGCGGGCTACACATTTTGATGGCTGCTCCGAACCGGGAGTTTGAGCCAGTGAACTTAAGGCTTCTGAAGTCGGAGGTGGCAGCGGCTTGGGCGGACGTGTCTAATGCTCTGAGAGGCTTCAATGAGCTGGCGGGTATCTTGATCGTGTTGGACGAAATGCTGTGTCTGGAGGTTTCAAATCTGGCTAGACAGCTATAGTCTAAACCAGAAATAACGGACGATCATCCTGTGATTAGCCATTTAACTGCGAGCATGTGGTTCCGGAGCATGAAGTTCACGCTTATAGGCTCTAACATTGACCGAATATTGATCGAAGGAGCGTGGCTTTAGCGGAAAAGCAGTTGGAGTCGATGGTGTATTGCATGACACAAGAGAATGGGAGAGGAGATGGCCATTACTGACATCGAGGCTGGCGAATGTCACGGACAAGGCGAGGGAAACATCACCTCCTTTGATAAAGCAGGTGCGGGAGCTCATGCAAAATCAACTTCAGCAGGCCAAAAAAGGGGTTGACGGTGGGGACGTTCGTTATCTTAGCGGACGACACGACCATCCACGTCTTGTGGAAAGATCGCAC